TATAAACCAATCTGAAAAGGCAGATTAAGCTCTACGCTTTCCTGCTACAATCGCCGGCTACCTTTCCCCAACTTCATATATAAACGAACGAATGCCTCGCACTTTGTTGTCAAATGTGTAAACATGCATAAATCAGTCGCATATAGACTGAACGAAGCTTTCACTACAAACGAACCACACTTCAATCGGGTTGCAACTATGCTGTACAAAAAAAAAGTATTGTGCATACCTTCTCAGCCTTGAGTCCTTCGGGCAATTCGGTATCTTCATCGAGACCTCCAGTACCTAAATTAAAGAGACAATCACGATACGAGAGTGGCAGCAAATTTTAATAATCGAATATGATTGAGCAAAAGGAAGACTTTGACAGAGATAATTGCAACAGAACACACATTCCGTACTGAAAAAACAAAGCAGATGTACCTTGAACCATATCTTCATACGAGGTTTTCTCGGCAAAGGGACGCGGCCCAAGAAGGTCTACCATGTCATCACGGGTTATAACCTCCTTCTCAAGCAACAACTTGGCAACCTATTGAATATCAGAGACCGTGTAAGCAGTCCGCAGCAAGCAGTCAATGCTAAGGAAACCGATTGTCGAGCAGGGTCACTTGCAACCTATCTCACGAGAATCATTGTTCGGGTCACTAGTAGTGTGTATCAGCCTGATCTCATCAGGAAAAGTGTACATCTATATACCAATGCATGATCCATCTTGACAACATACAAGAAACGGTTATACATACTTTCTCGGCGTCACCCTTGTGTTCGGTCAGAAGATCGTGCGTGCGCTTGTACGCATCGTTGACAATCTTGCGCACCTAGATCAATGCAGAAGAAGGAAAAGAAGTTCAGTACAAGCCCTCATGTCATGCCATCTCATCTCATCTCGTTGAATGATATGATTCATCCAAGGGTAAATATCGTGATTCAAATTGATCGGGTGTATATCTTGTGTGGGCCAAATCACTCTGTAGTTGCCTAGACTAAGGTGACTTATGGTCGTTATTATTGATTTTTGCCCTTTTGGGCCATGACCGTACTACGTTGCAGAAGGCCTGCCAGGCGTACAAGAGCAACCAGACAAGTCTTTGACCCTTAATACGAGCGAATACACTATAAATTCCATGTAAACACGATCTTGGGCCGTCATGGTTGATTTTTGCCCTTTTGGGCTATGTCTATACTTTGCAGAAGGCCTAAAAAATATTTAGGACTAAAATAATAATTGCTGTTAGGGAATATTGGGGAGGATGTTTGCGTGGTACTAGTGAGGCCCCACCAAAAGAATCTGAGAGGGTGGCGATATGCCGTAGGGAAACCACGCACTATCCAGGGCTATTCTAGCAGGTAGAGACACTTGTGTGCGTCACGACCTAGATGCCTAGGAACACAGAACACAACACTCTCGAGACAAGAAAGTCATTTGATACTGGGCAGATTAGCGCCCAAAGTCGTACATTACAAAGGACTCGATACGAATGCGCCCAAAGGCGCACATTACAAAGAACTTGATACGAGACAACAACATTCAGGCAGAACAGCCTCCATCTACAACACAGTTTAACAAAAGATAAACGCTGCCGATGCGCTCACTCACGCAGACACACCTCGTCGTCGATGAGCTGCGCGGTCGCCTCACTGAAAGGTTTGGTCAGAGACTGCTGGCCATCCTGTTGAGGGAACGATAGCTGCCCCACATTCATGTTCATACCGTACAGCGTGACCTGTACCGAATAGAGGATCGTGAGCAAGATAATATTAGTGTGGACCCTGTTTTTAACGGCGGTATGATTGCTTGAGATACAAGACTCTGCGTCACACAGACGTGAAGGGAGATGGGTGGGCAAATAATAGCTGCAACCGACCAACAACATAAACCAACCAAAACTATGGTACTACGATGAGTGACTGACCAAATAGACAAACCTGCGAATAGGCCAGCTTGGTGATCTTATCGAGATCGTCCTGTGCGCCTGTGGTGATTCTGCCAAAGAAAATATCCTCCGCCACACGACCACCGTATGTCATACAGATGCGATCGAGCAGCTGCAAACGCCAAAGTAGTAGCCAGAGTTAGTAACAGGAAATCGACCGTGCCACAGACTAGCTACATATGGCCAAAAACGAAGGGAATGGAGGTTGAGATATGCAGAGGACAAGTGCAGAAAGGGATGCGAGCACGCCAATTACCTGTTCCGTGGAGTACAAGTACTGATCCTTCGGCAAGTACTGCGCAAATCCTAGGGTGCCCTGACCTCTAGGAATGATGGACACCTTCAAAAGTGGGCTGGCGTGCTCCAGATACCACCCACACACCGCGTGCCCGGCTTCGTGATACGCCACGGTCCGCTTCTCGTCGGGTGAGAGCACCTTCGTCTTCTTTTCCAGCCCTGCGATCACTCGGTCTATGGCCTGCATGGGTGTTGAGACGCGCAAAGCCAGCGTCAGATACACGGGAAGGATAACGTGATGGATGGCAGAATAGAACCGCGCATGGGGGTGAGGCGGTAGAAAACACACACACACTGAGATGGCAAGCACGCCAAACGCACCAGAAATAAACGCACCCAAATAAAAAAGCACCAGAAATAAACACATCTGTGTTCCGAATTCGTCCCCGAATTGAAAAATATTACATAAAATATTCCGATGCCCAAACGACGGATCGGAGCCAGAACGCTCACAGAGTATATATATATGACGTGACTATAGGTGAAGTGACTATAGGTGAAGTGACTATAGGTGAAGTGACTATAGGTGAAGTGACTATAGGTGAAGTGACTATAGGTGAAGTGACTATAGGTGAAATGACTATAGGTGAAGTGAATATAGGTGAAGTGACTATAGGCCTCGAGAGCAGGATACCCAGGATTAGCATTGGGCGCAAGAAGTACCCACGACACACTCAGCATCTGCTCTCGGAAAACACTACGCCAAAACTGCACACCTGATCGAAATGCGTCTTAGACACAGACTTGGCTGCGCCCCTGGCGGCAATCAGCGCCGCTTCGTTGCAGATATTCGCAATGTCTGCTCCAGTGAACCCAGGAGTGAGAGCAGCCAGCTGTCGCGCTATATCCTCTACCGACACAGACTCGTCCAGTTTAATAGGCTTGAGATGTACCTGATATAAAATGAGCGAATGACTATATTAGAACAAGCGAGGCACCAAGAAAGCCCTCCTTTCCGGAGGAGAAGACCCCGTAGTCCAACCGGATTGTCACACATGCAGCTGAGATTGGTAGTCGAGCCAAAGGCCCGTATGTAGTGTCCAACTCTACGCTTTGCTCACTTGCAATTACCAACACAACAGAACCCGGGCTATACCTTGAAAATAGAAGCGCGACCTTTGATATCGGGGCGATCCACGTGAATTTGCCGATCAAATCGACCAGGACGCAAGAGCGCTGGGTCCAACACATCCACTCGATTAGTACCAGCAAGAACCACCACATCCTCAGAGGGTGAGAACCCGTCCATCTCTACTAACATCTGATTGAGCGTGTTTTCTCTCTCATCACTGTCACGAAAACCGAGGAGAAATGCTTGAGACACGCGATTGGGGAGGATGGGGTCTGTGACATTGACGGTGTGTATGTAACGCTCCACTGGCATGGTCTTCGCCATTATTACGGATTAGAATGATTCTGCTAACGACCCATTGAGTAATCTCTCTCACTTCTCTCAACAGAATGAGCATCAATACATGCATCCCCGAGTATACTTATACTTCTCAATAGACTGGGTATGAATACATGCATCCCGACGTATTCGGTTGCGGTGCGTGTGACTGGAATGGTATATATCTCAAAACATCTTGCACTCCTTCGCAATGTAAACGGTATAGAGAATGTCTACGAACATTTCGTTGGGTGTATACCCTTTGGCTACAAGGAGCGGATCAACCCATCAAACACGCCCGCACACAGGACCTACGTCCACAAGTATGAAGCCCAAGTCAACTTACAACACAATCATTGGGACAACACATTCTGCCTTCCCATACCTAATCAACACCCCAAGAGCCCTGTTTCACCATCCTTAAAACCCTAAGGACATCTCCCATCATACTACCTCAGTACTGAAATATATATAGCCTACCTTCCACCAGAGAAATTGCCGCTCTTCCCACGCGCACGGCCCACAGCATCGATCTCGTCAATGAAGATGATACAGGGAGTGTTCCTCCGTGCCTCAGCAAACAGATCCCGCACCCGCGCCGGACCCACACCGACAAACATCTCCAAAAATTCGGAACCGGAAATCGACAGGAATGGTACACCCGCCTCTCCCGCGGTAGCCTTCGCCAGAAGTGTCTTACCTGAAATACACCAAGCAACAGTCAGTATTGCAGTGCTTGATCGGGCAGTCGCGTTTACAACCAAGAGACTAAGAGAGCTGCCCTTTTATAGACTGGAATATATGCAGCAGAAGTGTCTAATCTTTATAAAACTCGTCGAATATATAGCGAGGCAGTGTCCAGATAGAAGCTGCCAGAACAACAACAAACCTGTTCCAGGCGGTCCACTCAGGATAGCACCTTTCGGAATCTTGGCACCCAATTTTCGGTACATATCGGGTTTCTTCAGGAAATTGACAAACTCCATAATCTCAATCTTGGCCTCTTCACACCCAGCAACATCCTTGAACGTGATGGAGATGGTCTCTGGGGTAATCATTTTGGCGGTCGACTTTCTCATGCCAAACACACCACCGGCGCCTCCGCCTCCGGCACCACCGCCAGGGCCCATACCACCCGCTGATGGGCAGAGTTGGGAATTCGAAAATTGAGTACAGAACATCCATAAATTTTTGGACGTAAGAAATGTGAAAATGACCTACACACACAGGCACCGAAAGCCAACTACAAGTAGGTAGGCAATGTGTAGTAGAGCGCTTAGCTACAACATCAGGCACCGCAAGCACAACAAACAGGTAAGTGGCAAGACTGAATCTATATACTTCCATCGATAGAACTTCTCCTTCAGACATCACACCGAGAATTGTCTCAAGCAATACGGGGGGTTTCATTAGCAAAACTAAATCTTGGTAGATCGCGACAAACCGATAGGATAGACGCGGTACCGAACATTCAAAATAATTGATCGCAACCAGCGATACCCAACATTCGAAGGATTTAGGATAATAAACAAAGGCTGCGGGATTGACTCGCGTATTACGGGGCTTAATCAACAACAAAAAACCTCCCCTCAATCAATCGTGACAGGGACAACAGGATAAACGCGATCCCAACATTCACAAGTGATGGACCCACAATAGACCACAGCCCAGGCGACAGTAAACAAATGCTGCAGGTTATAGCAGCGAGTGCACACACACATACACACCTCCGCCGAGGGCGCCGCGCAGTCCAAAGAGCATGAGCCCGATCAGCAAGAGCGTTGGGAGAAGACTTAACAACTCACGGGTGACGTCCGTCTTACTGTGGAAGGTAAGCGGTACCTACAGGACAGGACAGAGGACAGTAAGGAGTTGAGGAGCTTTAGGTGTCTGATAGCCCCCCCCCTTGACCCAAGATCAGACACGCGCCTATATTCTCGAACCGCGCAAGCCGAACTGACTATACATTGTACAAGCACCGCGCGATATAAACTCGAGCAACTGATTATATCCCCTATTCTAACTACAAAAGTACGAGCCAATATACTGCGACAAGCGTATAACATCCTAAATGCAACTACATATAACAGATATAAAACGGTGTAGAACTCAGAGACATTCAATGTCCCTAGCAGAGCGGCCCCCATCGATGGAAGCGAAGGGGTTTTCCGAATACTATACCTGATCCTCCATGATGTATCCCAGTGCCGCCTGAGCCTGTTGCAGCTGTTCTTCGAACACATTGACAGCACCGATACTGAACGCGTATCTGTGAGAAGTACAACGTGGTCAGCATATCGCCAATCGTTAATAACCGATCAATCTGCCGCAATCTGCCTCGCCTCTCACCATAAGCCAAGACAATACAAGCTCCAATAGAAGATCTTTTGCCGATAATCATGAAGAATCTGTTTAATAGAGCACAGATAGCATGTGCAACAATTCTGCAAAAACTATACAGCACACACTCACAGAGAGAGAGAGAGAGAGATCCATAGATAAATACCTGGGCTTCACACATGATGGACCTTCCCCTTGGGCAGTCGGGTTGGTGATCTCGATTGACAGAGGTTGAGTATCGCCAGATGTGCCATCCTGATGGTGCGCATACTCGTTTGTGTTCCGCGGCGCAGACGCTCCTGCACGCTTGGCCAAACGCGAGCGAATCAAACTGTCCTCTGAAGTACCGGTGGCAGTGAAGGCTTTGTTCTTGTTGAGATATACGAGTACTTCGTGCGAGTTCACGACTTCGAGATGATGGACCTAAGTGAGGTGTGTTGAAGGGTTCGTCTGTTCAAAGCTTATCCTGTGACCTATGGGTAGTTTGTTGAATCGATCAAGCTCCCTGTCTGTCCCCAATGACAATCCACTCGAGCCCTTTATCGTCTCGCAAATACCTAGCAGCGCTTATGCGCACATAAACCTATACATTTAAAATAAAAACCCGACCGATACCACACACATTCAGCCACCCCAAAAGGCCCAAAAGTCTGCCAGTGCACATATGTGATAGTTGCGGCAAAGATATTAACACCCGCAATCAGTACAGACTAACAGCCCCAGGCACACACACGACGGAGCGATCCGAATCTAAATACCTCATGGTTCCTCAATAAGGTGTCAGAGAACTCCTGGAAACTGATTTCTAACGGCATCCAACTCTTACGTAGAATCTGATAAGCCTCAAATGATGCATATCCAATCACCAGCTGTGTTTGGTCAGGCGAGTGTGGCCAATAGGATGTGAGTTTTTATGACTGAACTTTGTACCAACGTGATGCGATAGGCAAATGAAGTCAAGGTGAGTTACCACCAGCGGATACTACGGAGTACCGCATAGAGCATCCTACTCGCGTGTTCTGACAATTTAAAAGAAAAGATTCTCCGCGATAAACTATTTCGTTTCACGAGACACCCCATACCCAGGCAACAATCATACGCGGAGTTATTTTGATAACATTCTCCCCAGGCGTGATCTTGCTCTTGTCCCCGATGGGCACTGTTTGTTTATTCGTGATGCATGGAACCTTCGGGCGGAAGCTGTCGAATTCTGTGCACAAAAACGGAATGGAAGCGGAAGAAGAAAAAGTTATATTTTTGGCAATAGACAGCGAGACTGCAGTATTCTTGGAGTATGAAGGCTTGCGGATCCAAACGACGAACAGCACGTAGTTGTTATCATCAAACGTGAACCATTCTACGGGTCTACGTGTTCAGGCGAGTTTGCATGTAAATGCGTAACACAACAACGTTATTGATCTTATAAATAAACTGCAAACCCCTCAACATCGAGTTCAGGATCATCTACATAAAATATTATGATAATTGACTATCATTAGACAATAGAAAGATGCATTGTGAAAACATAAAAGGTGCAAGCGCGTGCGTGCGCAATATTGATGATGATTTGAGTATTTAAGTACCGCAATAGTTCTACAAACGACATCAAATTCCTTCCTCTGTTCACTTCGCAAGCAAACTAACTACATGAAAGTGTATATTCATTAATCTACGAATACAGAATACAATACGCTTCAATGAAACAGCCACTACACGGCACACTTATATCAATATA